CCAACAGTACCCCCCCCTCAATGGACGCCTCCCGGCGGACGAACAGTAGAAGACGACGCAGCGCGTCATTCAAAATCCAACATAAGCGTGGGGTCCAGGATAAAGGAGCGCAGAACCCAGGACCGATGGTCCGGGCCGTAGCCCAGCCAATCCACCAGATACTGGTGACCCCGACCCCGAGGCCGGACATCTAGGATACGGTGCACCGAGTAGGCCGGATGGCCACCCACTCTCCGGGTGGGTGGAGGGGGCCTGGCCGGAGGGCATAATGGGCTAGAAGAGACAGGTTTAATTCGTGACACATGAAAAACAGCATGTACGCGAAGATGTGAGGGGAGTTTCAAACTAACAGTGGTAGGACTGATGACAGATTGCATGGGAAATGGACCTAAAAACCTGGGGGATAGTTTACGGGAGCACCCTTTAAGGGGTAAATCCTTAGAAGAGAGCCAGACTTGTTGGCCGGGGGAATAAACAGGAGAGGGGATGCGCTTGCGGTCCGCAAATCTCTTGTTCTGTGCAGACGTGCAATTAAGAGTAGCCCTCGTCTGATCCCAAATGCGGCGGCAAGCTGTTAAGTGGGTCTTGACAGAGGGGATGACTGCATCAGGAAATTAAGACAGGAGAAGGGACGGTTGATACCCTAATGAAGCCTCAAAAGGGGACAACCCTGAGGCCGTGGAGATGTGACATGTGTGATGTGGGTGTACTCCACCCAAGCCAAGTGGGTGCTCCAAGAGGAGGGGTTACTAGCACAAACGCAACGAAGTGCATTTTCTAGCTCCTGATTCAGTCTCTCACAGTCCATTGCTTTGGGGGTGGAACCCAGAGGTGAGGCGGGGTTTGGCCCTCAATACAGAGCAGAAGTCCTTCCACACTTGCGAAATTAACTGAGGACCACAATCAGACAGTATTTCTGAGGGGATGCCCTGAAGTCTGAAAACATAGTCGAAAAGGATGCGAGCAGTTTCGGCGGCAGATGGAAGTTTCTTAAGAGCAATGAGGTGGCAGGCCCTGGAAAATCGGTCAATAACACTCAGGATAGTGGTTTGGTCTTTGGAAACTGGGAGACCTGTGACAAAGTCTAAGACAATATGAGACCATGGCCGACTGGGAATTAAGAGGGGCTGCAGCAAAATCCACTACATCCTTGTTAAGTGAGGGCCACCAAAAATAATGGCAGAGCATCCCAACAGTTCGGCTAGTCCCTGGGTGACAGGAAAAAAGGGATGAATGAGCCCACTGTATGGCCTGAGAGCGAACTGTAGCTGGGACATAAAGGCGATTGGATCAGGGTCAGTCCTTACTGCTCCCTGAATGGCTCTTTCCAGGTCCCAAGAGATTCCTCCCACTACACACGAAGGTGGTAGGATGGACTCAGGGGGATTGTGTGGGGTGTATCGCCGGCATAGGGCATCGGGCTTGATATTGCATAATCCGGGGCGGTAGGTGATATTCAGGTTAAACCTGGAGAAGAACAGTGTCTAGCGAGACTGTTGTGAGTTCAGCCTCTTGGCAGTTTGAAGATAAGCAAGGTTTTTGTGGTCTGTCCAGACCACCACTGGGAGCTCTGAACCTTCAAGCCAGTGCTTCCACTCTTCAAGTACAAGCTTGATGGCCAAGAGTTCTCTGTCCCCAACATTAGAATTTCTCTCAGGAGGGGAGAACCTTTTAGAAAAGAAAGCACAGGGGTGGAGCTTGTTGTCACCAGAGGATTGTTGGGAAAGGATCGCACCCACACCAGAATTCGATGCATCTACCTCAAGGACAAACTGCACAGACGGATCGGGGTGAATAAGCATGGGGGCTTCAGGGAACCGAGACTTAAGGGCAAAAAAGGCCTTCCGGGCCTCAGGGGTCCAGATAAAGGGTATTTTTGTTGAGGTGAGGGCAGTGAGAGGGGCAGCAGTGATGCTGAAGTTTCGAATGAACCTCCTATATAAATTGGCATAGCCAAGGAATCTTTGAAGCTGCTTCCTGGATTCTGGGGCTGGCCAGTCCATCACCGCCTGGATCTTTGCTGGGTCTGTTTTCACCTGTCCACCCTCAAAAACAAATCCAAGAAATGTGATGGACGACGCATGAAACTCACACTTCTCCGCTTTGACGTACAGATGATTCTCAAGGAGGTGTTGTAGGACCTTCCTTACATGCGCCTGGTGTTCTTCAGGGTCCTTGTAAAAAATCAAGATGTCATCTAAATAAACAAATACAAAGAGGTTAAGAAAATCCCTCAGGACATCGTTGACGAGGGCCTGAAACACTGCGGGAGCATTGGAGAGGCTGAACGGCATGACCAAATATTCAAAGTGTCCGATGTGAGTCTTAAAAGCCGTTTTCCATTCGTCCCCCTCACGAATTTGGACGAGATGATAGGCATTTTGCAGGTCCAATTTGGAAAAGATGGTGGCAGTGCTCACAGGTTCAAAGGCGGAACTAATAAGAGGAAGTGAGTATTTGTTCTTGACGGTTATCTGATTTAGCTCTCGGTAGTCAATATGGTGTCGAAGCGTCTTATCCTTCTTTTCAACAAAAAAGAATCCTGCCCCGACAGGGGAAGAAGAAGGACAAATTATACCAGCTTCAAGGGAACTGTTGATGTAAGTTTCCATGGGCCGGCGTTCAGGTCGGGTTAAGTTAAAAAGTCGGCCAGAGGGGAGAGGTGCGCCTGGAATGAGATAAATGGGGCAGTCATAAGGTCTATGAGGGGGCAAGGAGAGGGCTATTTCCTTGCTAAAGACACGTTGCAGGTCATGATATTTAGGGGGAACATTTCAGAGGTCTGTCAAAGGTAGCTGGGAGTCAGGGGTGGAGTTCTTGGCAGGGAGTGCAGAGCGAAGGCAACTACTCAGGCACTCAGGGCTCCAAGACATAATGCGGGACAGAGACCAGTCAATTTGAAGGCTATGCCTCTTTAGCCAAGGATACCCCAAGACCACAGGGGAATTGTTGATGGGAAAAACGAAAAAAGAAATCTGCTCATGATGGTTGCCCAAAGAAACAAACTGGAGGGGAGCAGTCCGCAATGTAACTGGTTTTAAAGCACTGCCATCCAATGCAGACACCAAAATAGGTGAGGAGAGTCTTTGTATTGGAATCTTATACTGGCGAACCAGTTCAGGGCTAATCAGATTTTGTTCCGAACCACTATCAACAAGGGAGAGCACAGGGAAGATTTTTTTTGTTAAGGCAGTTGGATGAGTGACAGTCAGACGGGAGCTATTGTGAATGGGAGACTCGCCCGTCAGAACCCCCAGATTTACTGACGGGCAGCAGCTTTTGGGCGAATGGGGCAGGTTGATAGGAAGTGACCCTGAAGGCCACAGTACAGGCAGGAACCAGAAGACGATCGATATTGCCATTCTTCATGGGAGAGATGGGCTCTACCGATTGGCATGGGCTCTGGACGTGGGGATGACGACCGAACTTGAGGCTGAGAGCTAGAAGTCGCCTTAGGATGATGTTGGAGGAAAGTTTGTCTCTGGCGATTCCTTTCTCTCAGTCTACTGTCCACTCGGATGGCAAGGGTTATTAAATCATTCAAGGTCTCCTGCTCTTCACGACAGGCAAGTTCATCCTTTAGCCTGTCGTTTAGAGAGTGCTGAAATGCTCCCCCAATCATGTTCCAACCCCAACCAGATTACTATCCAGACTTGAGTGAAGACAAAAGTTTTTATTTTCACTCTGAGCGAGAGATGATCGGCGTGGAGGTGTGGAGACGGGTAAGCGATGGGAGGAATCTGGAAGATCCTGAGCCAGAAGGTGAAGGAGGGTGGACGGGCAGGCAAATAATCCAGGGAGGAAACCAAATAGTGCAAAGAGGACTTAGAGGTAACGCTGAGGGTGAAGGAAGACAAAAAAGGTTTAGTTTTCACTTGGACAAAGATATTCCAGGGAGCTGTGGAGTCAAATGGTAAATTACCAACTGCACGGGAATTAACCAACTGGCTTCAGCCTCGGGGAACACGTCCCTCTAAATACTGCCTCCTGACTGCAGTCATTGGTTACAGCTGGATCTGCCCTGCCCGAACACACCCTGGGAAGGAGAAAGGTAAGGAGGCACTCAGGGTTAATGCAGGCCACCCAGTGGCCCCAACAGTTGCACACATTACTTCGGTATTTAGGTGCAAGTATATAGGTTTTTTTGTTAAAAATGGCTTGGTGACATTGTAGACTGTTAATTTGAGATTGAATTTATCTAATTTCAGGACTCTCTTCTTCAGTGTCCTGATAAATTACACTTTGGGAGCAGAATAAAAGTGTACTTTCATTTTCATATGATTGGAGATGTGAATGATTTAGTTTACTAAAATAATAAGAAAAAACACCATCAAAACGTATGGATAAGAGAAACATTTTGAAACGTCTCTTTGTCTCTAAGTCTCTTTGTCCTGACTGAAGACAGATAAAAGAATGAGAGCCATTTTTACATAATCCTTAGCAATGCTTTAAATAGAAAGTGAATAATAGCCAAATAACATTAAAGTTTGTATACTGATATTCTAAAACTGTGAGCAGACCCTTCAACTCTGCAACATAAAATAACTACAACTTATTAATAGCCTTGCTTCTTCACTGAGTATACTTTGGCCGTCCAAAGGTTTCCTTGTATTTTAAAGGCCTAGTGTGTTGTATTGTATCTCATCTGGGGAAGAGGTTAGAAATTGCAGCCAAATGAAACCCCTCTTCATCCTCCTCAGCATGCATTGAATGCTAAAAAATATTAATCAAAATTAATATTTTTTCAAATATCTTGAAAGGCCTTCAACACATATTTAACCAAGAAAACAGTGATACAATCAACCAAATACTATATATATTAAACCATAAGTGACTAAAGTTTGACTTTGATCGTCCAACACTTTTTTAATCCAGTAGTTCACTCATCAAATCTGAGAAACAATCTCATGTTAAATGACTGGTATTTCTATACTGACAAAAAGTAGGTGTGAGGAAATTGGATGTTTTCAAAACCTTTATTCTGGCAAGCACCATTAGAAATAGAACATATTTATCATGTGCTTATGTTATGTGATGAATAAAATCATATATGCATGCAAAATTCCCTGTTAAAATGTACATACATATCTTTATTGCAAAAAACTGTAAACTAAATTTAATAAATTCATTCATATTTATCATTAGTTTTAAAAATGTTTAACTTTTAATACATCACTGTTTGTGTGAGAAAACAAATAAATCCATCTTTTTTCTCAGTTTCCAGTCTATTTAGCAACATTAGTTGACTTTCACAAATTTTAAGATAATTGTACTTTTTTTGGAAACATTTTGCATGGCCTGCTTTTCAATCATACATCCATACAAACCTAATTTAAGTAAAAAAATAGATGAATGAAAATACAACAAGAGGAGCAGAGATATAAACAAAACTGGAAGGATTAACACAAATGTGTTTGTGTATTCAGATATGTACTGCACTGAAACCCCACCATCCCCAACACACGTCCCACCCCTTAAAGTTCTATGTTTAATGTCTTTTTACTCTTTTCTCTTCTTATTTTCTTTTTTTTTTGTACTGAAAATGAGTATCCAGCTTTCTTTTGTTGCTCAAAAAAAGAAAAATGATCTTCACTTATGATCAGTCCGCTGATGCTCCAGGCATCATTTAGCTCCTATCACGCTTTTGTTGCCAGCATGAATGTTTAGTATCAATTATTAGGACTTTCGGTCCTTCCACACATTAACGTCAGTCAAATAGATGTTGTCTTAGCCAGTGATATGCTTCATCCACCTCATACAGTGGTGACCCTCATTACTACCTCCCGGCTGGCGGCAGTACTCATCCGAGGGTCACTTGGCCTCAGTTGGCTCAGGATGTGCAATATGGTGTATCCACAGTGGTGGTTCAAAATAGTTCTTAGCCTCCTGCTCTGCTGGCCGCCACTGCTACTGGCTAAAATGTGAGGGTTGCCACGGGAGCCTCGGGGGCCAGTTTTACTGCTTGAACTCACTGGGTCGCCCAAGTCTTTTGATTTTTCGTAGTTCAGCACTTTCCACTGCTGATTGACAGCCTGCCATCTTTTGAATATACGGTACACCGATGATCCCTCATGGATGATGAGACCTTGTGTGGTGGGCACAAAACAAGAAAATAAAGATTGGGGTGAAGGAAATTGCATGGAATTAACTTTTTTCTTAGTGACTGAAATTATACGTCAAGCAAGGATGGGAAAAATTGTTCCAGAGAGCGTCAACAATTGCTGTCTATAGGCCCTAAAAACTTATTGACTACTATAAGAAACTGTGATGTAACAGTGATAAACATCCCTCTGTCCTTGCCTTATTTAATGTGTTGCATCAAATTCAAAATGAGCAAATATTTGCAAAAACCTTATATCTTTATAAATCTTAACATTATGTATTATATCCTTTGTTGTGTATTCAAATAAGTATAGGCTGAAAAGATTTTGCAGATAGTTGTATGCTGTTTTTAATGTCCATTTGACTCATTGTACCAACTTAGTTGGAATCAGGGTTTGCATCATCATTATAGGATGGAACATTTATTCTCTTCTGCGGTGAGACTATACAGTTGGCACATACGGAATTGCATGAATCTCATACCATCTGCTTCCATCATTGTTTTAGAGAGGCAAGTAATAAGTATGCAAGAAAGCTCCCACTGAAGCGTTCCTTTGCAACCTCAAATTTTTTTTTTACTTTTACAGAAATTGTTATCGCTTTCTAGCACCATCTGTTTATCTAGTTAAGTAACATTAGGACATCTTTAACAGCTAACAGGATGTAAAATGGGTACATGGTTTTATCACCAAATTGCATTATTCAACCTACAATAGTATTTTGTTGCACATTCTATCATTTGTTGTTACATAATGGTACCCTCTATGGTCAAGCTGAAACTATTTACAATGGCTAATATGATTACATGTTTTACCTATGCAGACGATATCCATGAAGCCATACATGCCATAGCAGATTTGGAAGAGCAGGTCCTGTCGTTGCCACTTGGCAGATGGGCTGAGTGAGGACCAGATTAGCCATGAAATGCTGGCAATGAGGAACAGGGAGCCCAGAATTATGGCTGCTATCTGCACCTTCTCAATCACCGTCAGGGAGATCGCTTGCCACTGAAAACAGAGCATTTTCTTTATTAAGAAATCAAAAAGACAACAGATCATGTGATCCAGTTTTCATGTAAAATTATGACACAATAATGTGAATACTGTATACTGAAAACAATTGTGTGTATTAGATTTTTACCAATATAAAAAGAAAGAAAGAAAATGCCTCATGATAAAAGAGAAAAATATCTGGTTGAATGTTTCTTAAGATGTTGCATTTTGACTGGATGCTTTTCAGCGTAACAGCAATGACGTATCTAGTCTGTCTTGACCAAACAGTATTAAAGCGTGAAAGCACATTCTTCTGTGTGCTTTTACAAAAAAAAATATATAAAAATATCCTCTATGATGGGATGATGTTTATGTTGTTCATTTTGAAGGGAAATTATATATCTGTGGTATAAATGTTTTCTATTGATAACACTTTTTTTTTTATACATGATAGAAAAAAATTTATTCACTAGTAATTACAAAAAAATATAGGCAGAGTATAGTCCATTAAAAAAATTTTGAAAGACACACTCATTTCTCCAGAACTGCTACATGAGATTGTATTGAGTGTGGAATGAAAAGATTCCTGCAATAAAATGTATATACTGCTTAAGACGGTTTGGTAGTCTCTTAAAATTTCTCTTAGAAAAATTATATTTCCATAACAGTACAACAAATGTTCACACATTCTGCCATCTTAAAAGCTTCTGCGCTTACAGTCTTAGTGGGTCTGGTTTATTATCTCCCAATCCCCAGCCTCGGACAGAAAACTGCTTTGGCTTGGCAAGCAAAAACAGTGTAGTACAGATTTACAATGTACAGATTTACAAGCAGATTGCCAGAACTTTGAGAACAAAATTGACTGGATTTCAGTTAGACTCTGTCTCTGAACCTGCACTGAAAGTACTGTGGTATACATAAATACATATATCCATGCACAATTAGGCGCTACAGTCTCCTGCTGGAGTGAATGCAGACCAGTATGGAAAAGTTATTAGTTGCCTATAAGAGTGACACATCCATGCCAAAGGTACTGACTGATACACCCATATGCTAGTTACCATATTATTGATAAATTATTACAATACTAGTGTTACAAAGTTATTTCTCCACTTTAGCCATTGTTACTAGAGGGTTAAAATGTCGCAAAATCAGTTTATTGTTACTCTTAACATGGTTATCCTTGAGCTTTAATTTTGAGCACAATCTAATTTTGTTTGACTTGAGGAAAATGTCTCCTTACTTTGGACATGGAATTTGATGCTCTAGTTGTAAAATTTAAAGTGAAAATAAAAATATTTTGGTGTGTGTAATGGACCTATGTCGATGACAAAAATCCCATACAAACACATGTTTTTGTTGGCTGTGTTTGTAAGAAAGGGCAAACAGACAGTGACATAGAAGACCAAGTGAGTAAGCACAATATGGAAAACGTACTGATAAAACCTGCTTAAGATTTGCTTCTGCTGAGTGTTTGGCTGTATTGATCGTATATTGTGAATATAACATCAAAAGGTCACAAACTATTCATATAACTTTTTCTTCCTGCTTAAGTCTGTATTGTATTTAAAGAACTGCTAACTACTAGATCACTTCATAATCAGGGGTTAAGTAATTGTTTCTTGAATAGTCTCATCTTAATGAAATCATTTTAATGTCAAACAGAATGTTAGCCTAATCTGTGTTGGTTTACCAGAGCTAGAATTGAACTCTTTAAAGCCTGATCCAAGAAAATAGAGAGATTTTTCATTTGACCCTTCAACACATTTGAAAAAAGAGATAATTTTTAAATTTTCTTTACTTATCACTACACAATAAATCAAAATTATTATTGTGTAGTCTTCTGCCTGCTGTTATTAGGTATACCTGATTTTGTACAACAGTGTTTTGAGCAAACCATTAAGTGATGCAAAAGGTCTCACATGCAAAACATTTCAGAAACCGTATACATCAAATATGATACAAATGGCCCTATAATAGGGTTAAATTGGCAAAGAATCAACTAATATCCTCAATGATCCATATATGTTTTCCTAGGATGTGTTTCTGATCCTGTTCTTGTTACCTGCAGTGGATTCTTTGTGCTGATGGCAAGGACCTGATACTTGAAGTAGCAGAGTTCACAGCTCCAAGAACCTCTTTCACTTATCCAACGGATTAGACAAGGTTGATGGGTGCAGCGCACAGAACCATCACAACGACAGGGGCTCAATAGTTCTCCCTGGAGGACAGACAAGGAAAAACAAAGACTTTTAAAGTAGATTTTAAGATTAATGACCTGAATCTAATTTCTTTACAACAAATTAATTTGGATCTGTATTCAAACATATACAGTATGTGACAGTGACAATCTTATGTTTCATAAGGAATTCCTGTTTGATTTTTAACAAGACCACATACAGTGGGCCGCAGCCGTAGCCTAATAGCTAGAGCGGGCGGCCCATATGCAGAGCCTCTGCTCGTAAGCGGGTGTCCTGGGTTCGAATCCGGCCCACGGCCCTTTCCCGCAGGTCTCCCCCTCTCTATCTCTGCCCCCTTTCCTGTCAAGCTACTGTCATTAAAGGCCACTAGAGCCAAAAAAATCAGAAAAAAAATAAATAAAAAGACCACATACAGTGAAAGTTATTATTTTTACTTGAATTACAATCAGATGATACTGATTTTACTCATTATATACATTTATATAATAGCTTAAGCTGCTGGTTACCTCAGCCAAGTAAACACAATTAAAATAGGAGGAAATCAGATTCAATAAAAATCTTTTAAAAAGATAAATTATTAAGTACTCAATTAACCATACTATTTACTACTATTTCCACAATATGCACGTTAACATAATATCATATTAGAACAGACTCTTTTTTGCCAAATGTTTCACACATTTTTCAAAAGCCACAACATAGTAGAATCTCTGAAACATTCTTTCATCAATAAGACCTTGTTTGTCATTTGATCAAACCCTTAAATCTAAGATAAAATGGTGCTGTGTTGTATCACATCCACAAGTTGCAGGATGAAAATTTAACTGATATGATGGCTTCAAAAATTAGAACAGAAAATGGTTGTCAAAATTCTACAGTGTCTTCATTATTAGGACATAAAAGGGGTGCTAAGACACTATGAATTAAAAAATGTTATTCGTAAGAGTAGATCGAAAGATGTTGAATGTTTAAAACGTAAAATTTTACTATTATGTGAATTCAAAGTCAGCAGCATTTTGAGGACAGTTGATACAGAGTTTACATAATCATGGAAAAGTAAGTGATGCATTAAAATGATAAAATAGATCAGTATAATATTTGATATAAAAATATCATGTTGAACAGGTAAAGATAAAGATAGGCAGAGCTGTATCATTTGAGTCAACAACAAAAAGGAAGTGAAGAAATTGAGAAATAAATGGAAAGAAGAATAAAATCACTGATGAATGAACAATAATCACTAATAGTAACTTATCATTGGCAACATATTATAAATGGCAATCTAATATTGAATAGATAAACAGCATGAATTGAAAAAATACAGGAAAATAAAGCAGAAATTATAATCTCATAATCTCTTCACCCACTGATGCTGAACTCTGCCCTGTGTTTTATTTTTCATCTTCCCTCATACATGCATCTGATCCATCAAAAAATATTTTCCTTCAATCTGTTAGTCCATTTAGTCTAAAAAAAAAAGCCACTAAGGTGTTTGTGGCATAATAATATTCCTCTTCTCAATTCAAGTGCAACCATGTGCAAAGACATAGAATACTCTATTAAAGGCAAATCGGTTTGTAATTTATTTTGGTTTGTGCTTTTTCACATTGCCCTGACGACAATAATAGTTGAATGGACGATAAATAAGTAGCATAGTTGCTCTTTTCGTCTTAAGTTATGGATTATGATTCAAAGACTTTAATTACCATTTATATATCTAAATATCTGTTAACCTTCTTATTGTCGTGTTGTCTTCTACAACCTGTTATCAGGTACATCTGATTGCGTACAACAGGGTTTTGAGCAAAGTTTTTACTATTAATTGATGCCAAAGATCTCATATGCAAAACATTTCAGTCATTATAGGGTGAAATCATCATAGATTAATGAATCAGGTACCTGTACCAACACAATCATCCATGATCTATATGAACTTTTTAAAAGGCAGGGTGTACTCTGGAGAGGTCACTAGTCCATCATGTATTTTTGTCTATTAGTGTGTTATTCTTCTCCTGACAAGTATTGTATTCTATAAAGAAATTGGATTATAGTTATGCCACTCACCAACTTTAGAATAACTTGCCATCCAATATTATAAAGTTGTTCTGAAAAGTTCACAGTAAATGTGGGACCAAATAAAACTAATACGACAGCAAACATTTCCATTTCTTGTCAAGCTGACGAGTTTTTAATACATTATATTTTCTGTCTTTTTGTGACAGAAGTAGAATTCTGTGAGACTTATGAAGGACACCACAGCAACTATAAACTGACTAAACGTTGGGGTTGGACCGCAGCATTTTTTCATGTATTAGACCATTACCACAGGGGGCAGCATGGTCGTTTAATGGTTAGCACCCTCACCTCACTTGGTTTGAGTCCCAGGGGAAGCCGGAATCTTTCTGTGTGGAGTTTACATGTGCTCCCTGTGTCTGCATGGGTCATGTTATGATTTGATAGCTACTCCCTTGCCAATCAGCTCCCAGCAGCCTGCCTCCAACACCTAATAGCCCGGCTCAGCCCTGATAAAACCCTGGCCGAAAATACGCTTAAGTTGGAACTGTTTAGTGGAGGGGGCCCTTGTTAGAAATGCAAAAATACCATGTAGAGCCGTGCCCTAAGGCTGAGTATGTACTAATGGATATTGCTTGATTTTGATCACTCGCCCATTTTGTCCCACAAATATGCCTGTAACACCTTGAAATTGCTTTTGTAAATCAAAATATTGTTGGGTCAAATCAGTGATCCAGATTCTATTATGGCAAATTGTTTTTTTTAAACACAATTAACAATAATATACACTAAAAAAAAACATAGAGCAAGATGATTGTTGTTATGATTATTCCTTTGACACTAACATGAAACACAGTGCCTATTGTTATCAGCTATTGTTAATGAAATATCCATATAATGGCTATGAAAACTACTTCAGTCTCACACCAGCAATGTCCTTTTACACAGAGGTTAAAAACTGTTGTAGAGGAAGAAAAAAGTTAACATAAAAGTGAGGGATGATTAAGTAGTATAGCTCAGTGTTCTTCCTCATTGCCTTTAACTTGTTCTTTTTCTGTAGACAAAATAGCAAAAACAAACAAATATTTTGGAAAATTATTTTTCACTGGTAGATATCAGTCAGACGTAACGCACATTGTCTGATTACCTATTTCAGAAAAGTGACTAAATGGTGATATCCATCTGTGCCCTCACAGGACGTGGTGTTTCTAATTGTCTACTTCAATTCTATTTAACAGCTAGCTACAGATCCAGGTAGCATTAACAGTTTATACGCATCTGGTGAAATAGACATTTGACCAGACAGCAAAAACATAACTGATTTGTTGTTTGGCTTGGGCTCATATACACCAGACAGAAAAAAAAAGATGGAAGGGATGATGCATATATGCAGCTTGAATTAGTTTAATCTTCCTTTTGTCAGCACAGTCAGCACCATTCTTCTAGCAGGGGCATGTAACTGACCATCATATGATCAATAGCCGAGCATCATGTTTTGTCACACATAGATCTATGACTAACAAAATGATTGTTACTCGTATAAGTTCTTTCCCCATCACCCTATTTATCATCCTCCAAACCTAACTTGCTAAGTTTCTTTGTAATGCTGGCCTTATTAAAGGTGAGTGGGAAATACTGCCTCCCTGATGCTGATTAATGATGAAAAGAGGGTTATTTAGAAAACTAAATCATCTCTGAAATGAAAAAAAAACAACAATAGTTTCTTGAGAAGACAAACTGTGCCGAATGTGATGCATAGACCATACATATTTTGAGTATAATTCATCATAGGTGATTTTGGGCCAAACAAGGATAATTAATTTGGCTGACTATTTTCATGTGTTACATGATGGCAACTGAACCTTCAGTCTAGACTACATTTTTAAAAGAGATATTTGATCAAAATTTAAGTGGAAAAAGAACTAAATGTGGGTCAGGATGGCTGTAGTCATTTCATTGAATCAGAGACCCCTTATGATTTGCAGATAATAATAAAAAAATCTGGTAGATGATATTGAAGAGTGGTATACTATGAAAGACTTATTGTAGTTATGCTAAAATGGAGAAACAAAGCATCATGAAATGTTTTTTCACAATCCCACAAAACCTCATATTAAGGACATGTGGCAACAAGAGGCTGTCGCTTGAAATTCACACAAAACGTGGTATTAGCTTTAGAGATTTCTGCTGCTGTCCATACCTGCTCGGGGCCTTGGAAACAGATCCGGCACTGGGGGGTCCGCAGGCTGCTGGTGGTGCTGGTAAGGGATACGGCGTCCAGGCCCACTTGCAGCTTGGGCTCCTTGTCCTCAAACGCCAGGCTTCGGGGTCGCGGGTCGCTACCGTAGTATTCCTCCTCATCATCCTGGGAATGGCAGTTGACGAACGGCGGCCAGCCGCATCCGCCCACCCCCAGATCTCGCATGGTAGTGGATCGTCTATCTATGTCCGAGCTGGACTGTCTTGAATCGGATCGCATAAACACCAGGACTTTCAGTTCGTTGAAAAGCATGCGTATCCGATATTTGAACATGTTTGGCTAAACAAAGAATCCCTCAGACGGACATTATTATTATGATTATTATTATTATTGTTGTTGTTGTTATTATTATTATTATTATTATTATTCATATACCTGATACAATCATTATTTTTGTTGCATTTGTTATCACACCACAGCTATTATCTTTAAGAGAAAGGGCTCTCGCCTTTCTGTTGGCATGTGCGTCTTAGGCAATGCGGACGAAAGATCTTTAGCTGAATGACACACACTTTCACTATTCATTACTTAAACAAATCAGCAAACGCTATCTAAATCCATCTTCCTACGCACCCCAAACATTACAACCCGTACGGTTTTGGGCCTCCACTCTTCATTTCCTCGCTGTGGCACTCAATTACACCTTTTTCTCAAATTCAGTCAGCTTACTTAAGGTCCTACATATTTTTGCTACCCAAAGCAGAAAACTGCGAGAGAATGGAAAAGTGAAAGAGAGAGCAAAACAGAGGCAAGAAATAGATAATAGGACGTAAAATACATTGACATCCCATCAAAACAGTCACATCCGGGTTTCTTGCCAAGAATCATAATCCAAAAAGGGGAAAAAAAGGTAGAGGTACGGAAGATCAGATGTAAGAGTGGGGGATGTTGTTTTAACGTCCTTAATGTCTTTATTGTCCGTCACTGTAGCATCCCGAGCGCCAGTCCATGGTTACCTATTAAAAAATGTTGTCCTTCTTCGCGTCTATATTATTTCCTTGTTGTAAAGACTCTCGTCGGTCCACGAATAATCGATTCCATACATCTCCACAAACCATGTCGAGATAAAAAAAAAAACAATCCTTTTCATTTGCTTTCTCGGAAACGTAGCAGGAAATAAAGCAACCTAAAAACACGCGAGAACCCCGTGTCTGCTTTCGCACGATGTACATCAGCATTTAAATCCAAGTCGGAACACGGTGAACAACGCCAAAAAAAGATTGAATATGACTCAAATATATTTTTCTATAAGAAATAAGAGGGTTAAGACGGTAAAAATGTATCCCCATCGGGTAGAAAATGTCCCACAACGGCTGTGAATATTGAACCAGGTATGTGGAGGTGATCATAGACTGAGTCCTATGCTACTGCTGATTTCCTCCACGAAATGGTTCGCTCGAATATTGAACCAATGCAGCCGCTATTTCCGGAACAGGGAGGGGAAAAAAACTTACTGTCAATGTATAAACAACCTGACATGTTCCCCTGGTCATCCGTTCCTCTCGATGGGTGGCGCAAAGCCCCCAGCTTCTCCGGGAGCTGGGCAGGGAAGCGGTTCTAGCATTTTTTGAAAAAAATTGACAGAGCACCGCTGTCCAGGGTGCTGAAACAACCCCCACCCCGCTTACGTTGACGCTGCAGCTACACGTAGTGAGAGCCCGCGAAGTTCGAACTGGAGTAGGACGTGATTTGTGGACTCCAGTCTCTTAAAGGAAAGAGGACAAGGGAATAAGCGTCTATTTATACAGACAAATTATTGATGTATATTATATCTTGTATCTTATGTAAGTGTTATATTTAAAACTTTAAGTAATATCAAATGTGTGTCATGAGTGGGCTACGTGTGTTTAATGTCTATGATGGACTGGAGACCTGCCCAGGCTCAAGCGACCCCACTAGGAATAACCGTATAGCCAAGGGATGGATCGATATACAGTATATGTATGTGTAAAGCTACATAGACTATTTATTTATTTATATTTATATTATATATATTGTATTATATATGATACATATTATATCAATTATATCTATAATTAATTGATAATTTATCTATCCAGCAGCAACTGGCCTCATCAACGATCAATAGCTTATTCTTCTCCCACCCCCCTCTACCCCACTAATATACACAATGCTACGTTCAGCATTTTCTGGTCTGTCGGTGGACATTCAACATTGCACATTTCAATTGTTCATTTGTACGTTCAGATCTATATTTTTTTAAAGATTGTACTTTTTAGTTTTATAATTTCTGTTCAATATTTTTATTTCTACATTGTATGTCCTTTCTTGCTTCTCATAGAAGTGTTGTGCACCAAACACCAAGGCAAATTCCTTGTAAGTGAAAAACCTACTTGGCAATAAACCTTATTCTGATTCTGATTCTGATAAGTATTCCATTAAAAGCTTTACCCATTGTTACCTGAACAACGTTACTACCACTGAGAATATACTGTAGATATTTAACTTTCTGATGTTGATTTCACTTACATTTTCTGAATATTTAACAGTGATTATGGAAATATTTTTTTAATTGAGTTAAGTTTCAAGTTATTGTTGTATGCTTTATCCTCTGACTGCAATGGAAATGGTCAAGCAGTGAAGGCATGGATAATGTCAGTTACCAGCAAAAAATTGTTTTTTTTGTTTTTTTGTCTATTTGTCTATTTGTATTTTCATATTATTGTATCCAACTATTTGTTTTCCACTTAAAAGAGACATATTATACCCTATTTCAACATTTTAAACTAGTTCCCTGGTGTCCTAATGTAATGTCTGTGACAAGCTTTGGTCAAAATACCATAAGGGTGAAGCACAATAGCAGTTCAACCACCCTGCCAAAACAGCCCCGTTCAGAGTGCTCGGTTTGGAGTGCCTGTCTCTTTAAATGCAAATGAGACACAGGCAATCCACCCACTTCTTCCAGGAGGTGTGCCTACGTCAGCACGCTCACACTACCGTGCTCACGCTCACGCTCACGCTACCACGACGTCTGCCACAGATAGGCGGAGTAAGCTGAGGTGGGGGGCAACATGCAGGTGAAAGGCTGGAATATTATAATGAGCTAGAGCTAATGACATCAGAAACTACAGATTCCTGAAACCTCCTGATTTATCTCCTGTATTGAGACTGAGGCAGCCCACAAAAATATGACTGAGTCATTTTTTTTCACACTTTGCCTGCTGATAGGCCCTCCACAGTCCCAAATGTACATAATCAAATGATTAAAAACTTGGTTTTGCATAATATGTCCCCTTTAAACGTTAAATATTGATTCATCCAATCATTCAATTCAATGCATTCTTAGATTCTGGGTTTAAATGTGCACACCACTTTGGATGTTTTATGAGCCACCCTTAGCTTAAGGATTTTCATATGTATTTCTATGCTCACTTTGACAAAGTTTCATTAACCACCATTAGTAAACTAAGTTCTTTGTTAGGTGAACTTAAAAAAAATATATGAGCATAATACATATGTTTAACTTTTAAGATTGAGCAACAGCCACATTGATTAATTAATTCCTTGGCCAAGGGTGACGTCTGCTGTTGACAGGTAATTTGTATGCTGTACATAAAGATTAACGATTAATGTACCACAATGACAAACAAAATGAAAATGAATAAAATATGTGTGTAAAAACACAAACGCAACATGAAATATGCAGGAAATTATCCCAGATAAAGTGCAATCAGTCCTAGATCCAAATTAGCCCTTTTGAATCTCTGACTCTTTTTTCGGAGCACCTTTTCTTAAGAGGATATAACATAACCCTTTTTATTTTTGTCTATGACTTACCTGCGTAATATTCAACTTTTCTAAATGATTTTTTTTTATCTTAGTTAAAGCTGAGTACAGATAAAGTCATACCGATGGGTGATTTTCATGCAGATGGTGAACATCCATCCATTGTCTTTAGTGCTTATTGCTGGTAAGGTCACAGGGAGGCTGGAAGCTATTCCAGTTTGCACTGGTCGAGAGGGGATGGACAGTTCGGCAGTCCATCGCAGGTTCTCGTGGGGACAAACAACCACACACACTCCCATTCATTCCAAGGGTAGAACATGCAAACTCCACACAGAAACATCCTGCTCCCTGGTGATTGAACCAGGAACCCTCTTGCTGTGATACAATGGTGCTAGACATGAAATATGACAGTCAGAGTAATAAGTTTAATCATGTATTATATTCAGTTAGATTACACAAATAGTACGTACTCACTCTCTTAACCATACCCATGATCCTTCAGCAGGTTTATACTTCATCAAAAACCTGTGTAATCCTACAATTGTTTTAGTTACATTTCAGTTTACATTACAATACCCAACCACATCAGAGAAGGAGTTTTTATACTCAATATCTAACAGAAACATTGTTTAGTTAAAGAATCATTTAGAAGAAATCATAATGTAAAAAATAAATTCCATTATTATTAACATAGGACACCTAGCAAAAACTTGACTCCTACCGAACTTGATTATCTTGTTGCTAGCAATGCAACTTTATTGCATACAACACTAGGCATTTTTACCCTGTAAAAAGATGTTAACTGGTCAGAAAAGGTTGGCTCCTTGGTATAATTCTTAACTCTCAATACCTGAAAGGATAGCACAAAGATGAATAGACAGCACTGAACCGAGACTGACTGAAAGCCCCAGTTTTGTGAAAAAAACAAAACGATTCTATGACACTTTACCATCACAACATTAAAGCCATTTGGCTTAGCTGTCGTGGTTACATGTAAACAAACACTTTATGGCAACATTTACACTGCAGCCTGAAGTGACCTGAATGACCTTTTTGCCCCATTATGACCTGTATCTGATCTTTTCATGACAGTGTGAACAACACAGTTCATATCTCTTCAAAATGCAACCCAGCCCACTGGAATATATGGTCCTAAATCCGATATATATCCAATGATTTCAAATGCGACCTGAGTCTGGTACAGCCAGCTCGCATTCATCATACATGCACGTTACTGAACCTCTAGCAACACCACTTTTCTCCATCGTGCAACGCCAAAGAAATACAACCATGGCGGATGATAATGAGGAAAACAGTCAGTGGACAGAAAGCGGTTTATGACTAAACTAGTGTTTGGGGGGATAGCTCCATACAATCCAATCCGTGGAGGCCTTATCATTGATAAGGTATTGACCCGGTAATCTTTTTATCATTTAAAAAGAAAAAGCCAAGCATGGGTATAAATGTTCGTGGCTCCAATGTCAAAGAAAAATGAAGAGCATCCAGGCCAAATATAATGAAACTAAAGTTTCCGACTCATTTTATGAAAAGGTGGACTGCAAACACTGAGCACACTACTACATGTGATGTTATTGTATCCTGTACTGCGCTTTTAAGTTTACTTGCAGTTCACACTTGATATCACATACGTGTCGCATATATTTGGAAATGTGAATGACCATGGCAAAAGATTTGGATTTCACAACAAATCGGATTTGTTCAATATGAACATAACCTATGATAAAACAACCCTTGGTTGTTGGTATCATCAAAAAACCTCATATGCGGTTAAAAACCAAGTATTTGTTTAATAGTTATAGGTATTAATGTGTGAGGATGGTTTCTTATAACAGATGTCAAAGTGCTTGAAGCACGACTCAAATATTCTCTCAATAATCAATGTAATGTGGAGAAAAGTCTTGATGGAAATTGTCAGCACTATGAGCTGAGCTAATGATCAGACAATGATGAAGGACATTCAAGTGGATAATGATATAAAACATGTATCAGCATTTAATTTCTATACAATCAGATGTCTGATTATAGACGCAGAAAATTGCAATACTTAAATTCCCTGTTCAAACTCTGTAGAAAGGGGTTGTGTTAGGGAGTTTGAAGCAAACAAACATTCTTGAAAATAGAGCATCAGAAAGATGTGAGGATAGCAAGTTGAGGGTACCAGATGCATGTTATCAATGTCCCATTTGCTTTATTAGACATGTTTTTTTTAAATATCCATTCAATAGAAATGACCAGTGTAAAATAGCGTGAATTTATTGTCCAATATTATCACCTTTGTTGATGGGGATGCTTTATCTCCTTTAATCAATCTTCAGGTAGTTTCCATTTCTAGCAGACAATTATATTTTACATAAGTGTAAAATAATCCTTATCTGTTCCTAGGATTGAGATTTATTTTGTAAAATGTCATTTTAATACATAATACATATGTATGTATACAAACACACCTCTCAATGATCTACTTTGCCTCTCCAGTATTAATATTATTATCACCATTATTTATATAATTATTGAATATTATTAAAAATTGGGTTGTTATAATATATAATACATTATTACTATTCAATATAATCTAATCACTATTATCTGTCTCAAACAGCTTGGGAGGACGGGAGTGGTTATTACCTTCTATAACATCAGGAAAAACAAAAACGCAAGGTAATGAAAGCAATGTCATATATAAATAGGGGTAAATTGTGGTCTACTGAGAAAAAAATTCACAATTAAGATCTGATGGAAGTTGGCATTGACAGCCTTATATGTGAAGAGAATAGTTTAAAATTGCATGCATCTAATAATATTATGAATAGTAGCATGCATAAAGATGAAAACATGGATGTGCTTTTTAAGCTCAGAAAGCTTAAAAAATTATCTTTTGCTTATCACGGCGTGGTCACTAATGTCAAGGCAGGTCTACAATATTCTCAGTGGTGAGGAGAAAAAAAACTACATACACACTTCATTACCATCTTGTGATGAAGTGTACAAGTGAGCGCTAGTCACGAATCTTCCAGCCAGTACCTTTCTGCTGAAAACAGAAAAAATTACAACTGTCAAGCCTCCAGCAAGATGATTTAATTCTGCATCAATGTTTTCATACAACTTTAATTTTTGCCAGGACTTGGATTTTTAATTTTTCAAGACCATCAAACTTTAATTTCACTTTCACGAAAAAATATTTTGACTAGAAATGTTTTTTAAATTTGAAGTTTTATTATTTTAAAATTGTCTCAAAAATTACATTTGCATTACATTTCATTAACATTTTCCCACAAATAAGACATGTTATTATATTTGAGGTTAGTCCTTTAAGTTAACCGTTAAAAGAAAACAAAAAGATAAAACTCATAAATTCATATATCAACATGAAATATCGACCAAAATTATATAATCAAAACATTTGATTAATGTGTGTCAAACTTAAATAGATGGTGAAAATATTTAACAAGCATATTTTACAAGGCATTTAACACTGATGAAAGGAAAATTATGGCAACAGAAATACACAAAATATTCACGCTTTTCTAACTTACTTAAAAACAAGCAAATTTCCCAAATAGTTAAAATTGAATTTGGGATTCAATATTCCAAATTCACTCAATGTTTTCAAAACACAGAATTTTTTATTTTATTTTTCATGATTTCTTCCAGTTAAACAGGAGGTACTAGAAGTACCTGAATTCACTTTTCTACTATACTAATATTACTGTCCAACACAGACATAAGTGGTAAACACAGGTAGAGTGGATAATTGAGGATTTTGGAGAAACTACTTGGCAAAAACAATTAGGAAATATTTTCACAAGCTACAGTAGTTAAGCTGTATGTACAACATCAAAGCTGCAGTCAGTGGCATCTGTAGGTAATTGATTCAAAGTGAGTTGGCTCAGTTAATATTCAAATGTTTTAATCTGAAGGACTAGCAACTCTGTTACCTTAATTCACCTCTTGAAACTCCTACCTTATGTAATGTCTAGAGAAAAAGGAAAAGAAAAATCTCTACACAGTGCCTTTTTTCTCTCTTTACACTGGAAATGTTTAGGTGCATATAACTGACAGCATTGAACTGAGTATATTTTCATAGATGGTGACATTATACTAGACATAAGAGGAATATTTTAAGTTGCATACAAGTTATTTGGACAGTCATTTGTTGGTGTATAGAATGAAATAAACAAAGAGGCAGTTGGTGTGTGCGGGTGCAGGACTCATGCAAACATTTCTTGTAATCGCTTAAGTAGTAGACGTAAATTGAGAAATCTGGTACTCAGATCAAGGCTGAACAAGTCACACTGATCAGCGTTATGAGTCATCCTTTCATACACAAGTATCCAGGTGTTCCAGCTTGAGCTCTAGCATATATGTCTAAAACTGTACTGTCTCAGTCTCTGGTGAAATATGTCTTTCTGTTTCTCAGTGTGTTAAGGTGCTGAGTGTGCTTGTCCATTCTGTTTTGTTGTGACTGCTGTGTATCTGAATTTATATGCCTGAGTGTCTACCTCATGATGTATTTTATTCTCTCCGTACCAGTGTAAAACAGTTTCTAATGTGCCCCTTTCTGAGACAGACTATAGGAAAGCACTTGGATTTGCACGTGGATCCTTCTGGTTTCTGTATCGCACAGCGAGCCACACTCCAAGGATCTGTTATTAAAGGAAAGACAGACAAGATATTAAAAGGCTATGAAAACAGTTTTCCTGCTAAAGATATTGTTTCTAAAATCAAGCCAAAATATGCATTACAGTGTAACTGGACTGTAGCTACAGTAAAAATTGGTTATAATGTTTTATACAGGCACCCCCATCTTGCCTAAAGTATCAAACCAACAATATAGGCTACGTTCACACTGCAGCCTGAAGTGACCAATATTCGATTTTTTGTGAAATCCCAATTTTTTTTAACTGCAAGCGGACCTAAAAGTGTAGCAAGCCTGATCAGTTTGTGGTCTAGCTCTTCATAAACTGGAGAGGTGACGGATCCAATGCCGCTTGGTTTGTTTGAGTCTTAAGTCTCCTTATATTTGGCCCAGAGGCTCTTCATTTTTCCTTGGCATTGGAGTCAGGAATGTTTATACCTACACTAACAAAAGAATCGCCCGCTTCTGATAAGATACCTCGCGTTGGACCTGGATAGAGCTATCCCTTAATTACAAAATAACTCATAAACCTTGCTTTCTCTCCACTGACTGTTCTTTGCATTATTGTCCACTATGGTTGTTGTTTTTCTTTGGCTTAGCAGTACGGAAAATAGTTGCGTGCCTCTTGTACCAGTGACGTGCAGATCAGATTATTTAAGACCACATATCCAAGTGGCCTGTGTAACATTTCAATAAAGCTTATCTGTGTTGTTCAAGCTGTCATGGAAAGATCGGATACATGTCACATTAGGGCAGAAAAGGCAGATATCAGGCTGCTTTGTGAACATAGCATAAATAACTCTTAAAAACAAAGGAAAACATAAGACCAAAAAAGAAGGCTAATATGTAGTCTGGTAAAAAACTAGGTTTTGCTCACGTGTTTTTATCCAGTAAATCATCAAGCAGCGATACATAGTTTTCTCCATTCCTTATCATTTAGGCTACAATGGAACCATAGTTTCTACAAAATTTCAAAGAAACTCATCTGAAGCTCAAAAAGCTGGATTTAAGAGACTGCAACATGTACAACTACTCTTCAAGATAATGCGTTTGGCAAGCTAACTTACCTCTGAGAAGCTGAAGAAGAGTCCCACTCCCCCAAGAATCTTCAGGGCCTCAGTGGCATGATTCAGCATCTTTTCACCACAAGTTGAACAGTTGCCTCTCTTTTTACATGGCTGGAAGAAACATCCATAGAATTCAGTCATCAGTTTATCAGTGTCATCTGTCATAACTGCCAAAATGTATTCCTAAATAGTATGTTGTCAGATTTTCCCATATTGTTTAGGGAAAAACTTGTAGAACTTTTTATCAGTGACACGTGCACTATTTGATGCTTAAAAATTCAAAATCTAGAATTTACAGCAGGACAGTTTTGCAAATCCTGATCAAACTGGGAGGTGGTGATGTTCAGCAGTCCACAACAGTTAAGCTGGCTCTCAAGGTCTGTCTTGGTGTTGTTCTCCAACATCCCCCAGGCAGAGTTCAAAAGCACTTCCTTCAATAGAAAACAAGACAGAAAAATAATAACAAAAAATATCACATTTAAATTAATACATGATTTAATTTATAAGTTGAAAATATTCTACTATATTCTGCTGTGGGTTAAAAATGATTCACCTGCTGCCCTTGGTTCATTGCCAGGCAGGAACATGAAACCCCGAATTGGAACAGGAAAACAATGAACAGAATGACCATGTACTTCAAGAAAGTCAAAGAAAAATGCATCAACAGCACGATTAACAAATGGAAGTCAAATTAATTATCTTTCAACTCTTTAGAATTAGGAAAGTGAACAAGATACCACCAATGTCTATGTCTTCTACATAATAGTAATCACAAAGAATAACTCCTGAAACATTAACAAATATTGGAGAAATTGGGATGTTTCTGTAGCTGTAGTCACCAATGTCTATATAAAGAAAGGATACGAAGAAAAGCATGACTTGATGGTGATGGATTGCTCCAATAAGTCCTACAATGGCAATAAGCAGCAGGAAGACACCCACTGCTATGACACCTCCTATGATGTGGATGCTTGACACCAAGCCGAAGCCCTTCCCCCATGCTGCAACTCCAATCAACAGCAGCCCGACAAGCTGGAAGGACCAGAGGGAAAAAGGTTAATTATAGTGAACAGAGAAAGAGTGAATTGAGATAAAAGAGCGAACAGCACATCAAGCATATGGCACAATATGAGAAACAGGCCACCTAGACGGCTTGGTATCAGGCGAATCAGGTGCAAGTGTAGGAATTACAACAGTTTGTAAATGTGCCTCCCACTCTTTAAGGGACCAAAAGTAATGGAACAAATTAACAATAATTAATCAAACTTTCAATTTTTAATACTTGGTTTGCAAATCCTTTACAGTCAATTACAGCCTGAAGTCTAGAACTAATAGACATCACCAGACACAGGGTTTAATCTCTGGTGATGCTCTCCAGGCCTCTACTGCAACTGTCTTCTGTTCCCGTTTGTTCTCGGGGCTTTTTCCTTTCAGTTTTGACTACAGCAAGTGAAATGCATGCTCAGTCGGATTCAGGTCAGGTGATTGACTTGGTCATTGCATAACATTCCACTTCTTTGCTTTAAAACAAAACTCTTTGGTTGGTTTTGCAGTATGCTTTGGGTCATTGTCCAATTGTAGTTGACTTTGACACACACACGCCTACTTCCTTGAGTGCACTTGATCGTCCCAACTGTTGTGAGGGTTTTTTTCTTCTCCAAAGAAAGAATTCTTCTGTTATCCACCAGTGTTGTTTTCCGTGGTCATCCAGGTCCATTGGTATTGCTTAGCTCACCGGTGCGTTCTTTCTTTTTAAGAAAGTTCCAAACAGTTGATTTTGCCCCACCTAATGTTTCGCTATCACTCTGATGGGTTTGTTTAGATTTTTTAGCCTAATAATGGCTTGCTTTACTGAAATTTACAGCTCTTTGGATCTCATTGAGAGGTGGCAGATTCCAAATGCAAACAGCACACTTGAAATTAACTCTAGACCTTCTATCTGCTCCTTGTAAATGGGGTAATGACAGAATAACACACACCTGGCTATGGAACAGCTGAGCAGCCAATTGTCCCATTAATTTGGTCCCTTATACGGTGGAAGATACATATACAAACAGTGGTATTTCCTACACCGTTGACCCGATTTGGATGTAAATACTTTCAAAAGCGGAAATTCTCCATTTAAAGCACATCTTGTATATTTCATTTCAAATTCATTCAGGTGGTGTATAGAGCCAAAAATATTAAAATTGTGTTTGTTGTCCCAAAATTTATGGGTTTGACTGTAAATGGAAATACCCTGGCTGGGTAAAGGATAAAATGCAGAGGCACGGCATGATGTATCAAGTACAAATTACACTAACTGCAGTGTTATATTCACAGCAAATTAAGAAGGCTGAATGACTGCCAGTGTTGACATCTATACTTTTTGTTTTTGTGTATTCAAGTATTGGGCAACATTTGAGCAGGCAGGAAAAAGACATTTAGGGAAACTGTTTAGTAATAACTTGTTCTACTTTACCATTGGCTTATGTTGGACATTTTTATTTGGACTGGAAAAATTAATAGGCAAGCAAATTTAATGTAGACACTTAAGTTTTCAACTGCAGAAAATGTATGTTATATAATAGTAAATGCATGAAAGCAGATTTGAAAATATGTAAATTAAACATGTGTTACATTAAATTCTAATTCCTGATTTACAAATAAAACAAAAATGCAACTTTTTCACAGTTGTTCATTAGAAGTGTGTTTCCCAACTCAGTGTTATGGCAAGAAGTGCATGCGTGCCGAGAAATGCATCCCCATTCATGGCAGAGTAAGTTATTTATGATTCTGCTTCCTTTCTGGTGGTGTGCAATGATAAAAAATAAAAATAAAAGTATGAATTACAACATTTTAGAACTAGTTAGATTCAGACTTGAGGGTACATCTTTGAAAACAAAGACTTGTTTTTAACCATGAGCATTTTTAAGCATAACAGTGTTTGAGGTTGAAAAAATGTCTATGTAACTGTATTTGCTCTGCTTACAAGATCCTGTGTAAATTCCATGCACACAAACCTAACTTTGGCTGATGCATTCAGTAAGGTCTGCCAAAATAAAAAGCATCCCCTGCTGGCCAAGCTCTTAGTACAGCTAGCAATAGGTGAACGATACGCTCTAAACAGTACAATTGTTGGTTTGTGTTACCAAGTTAGTGTTATCTAGTTACCAACAGCACTCGTCATATAATTTCAAAACATTCACGATTAAAAACAAATCTTTATTTTCAACGATTTGCTCCCAAGTCGTAATGACACCAGTTTAAAACTTTTCCAATCAATGAACTTCCGATTCTTTATTATTACAAAACACAAGCGAAGAGGCAGAATCATAGACGACTTTTGCTATGCGCGCTCCCGCGACAGGGGATGCATTTCACGGGGAGCATACTCTTCTCATAACATCGGTATTCAAGGATCAGTGCTCTGCATGATTTTCTTGAGCCGTTCTATTTATTTGAACCAGGTGTCCTAGAACAGCGAAAACATGCAGGGTAGTATGTGCAATGAGTAGTAGGGTCGAGAAGCACAGAATTAGTACAGCTAAATTGACTTATTTTAATTAAAAGAGTTACATTTTTCTGATATGTCAGCTATTAGTCTAGAGAGGCTAACGACAGCTGAACCGAAGCTGGCGTGTTGCAACATTTTAGAACGCTTTAAAAAGGCAGACACTTGAGCTGTTTAAAAGCTTGTTTGCTCTCATTATAAACCCGATCGGTGAAAATATACAAGACAATGGTAATATCCCCCACAGGCATGATACTGTCGGACAATTGGCCTCGGAGCTTATGCTATCCCTAACACGAATGATGTTACTAGCTATCAGACTGCTAGCCACGACTTTCTATCTAGACAAACGTAAACGAAATGTTACACACAATTTCTATACCATTGATGTACATACCAATCACAAATGGGGTGAAACCAGAGTGCATGTGAAGCAGAAGGGTTATACCATCAGTAATTTCTATAAACGTAAGTAAGTCGCTAGCTAGCACTCCACCAACATTACGCTACTGGAGCTAGTCAACCAGCTAACTAGAACTTAGTATCCACATTCCACACTCACCATGTAAACAACGTTAAGGGAACAGAGCGCATTTTTGGAACAGGTGAAGCCGCCACACACCATATTAAATATAAGACCTCTGTCGACTGAGACCAAACAGTGAATAGGACTATACCCTTGCTATGTCGATCTGAAATGTAAAGATGTCTATCTGGACCAAATAGAGAAGAGGGCGTGGCTGATTACGTCATATGTGGCGCACATATGACGTCAGAATCGTGCGCTTTCCTGTCTGCGTAGGAAAAGGAGTTTGCTCCTTCAGTTTAATAAAATGAAATAAAATTAACGTAATATATACCCGAAGGAAAATTCAGGGGTTGTAATAATAATAATAATTACAATGGAAATCAATTACAAGAAGATAATTTCTTTTTCCTGAGGTTAATGGCTGCTGGTAGTAATGGACCTTACCAAGCTCCGCCCACAACTGACGTAAAAAATCTGAAGTCTCACAAACAAAGCCTCGTGGCGCTTTAGTTCTATGGAAGTTTCTATGTAAACATGGCGTCTTCCACTTGGACTGATTCTTTGCGGAGTATTCCCGACTCGATTAGTGCGTCATTTCTGCCTGATTTTGAACACATATCATCTACAACAATGGACAGAGGAACGAACAAGTTCATGTCATCATTTTTGGATGAGTTAAAGGTATTTGAGCCACGCGATGCCTCCAAAGTTGTGCACGTCACAGCAAAATGCTTTCGGTCGATGAGGAAAACGGCAGACCCTCACACCCTCAGCATTAATATAGATGTGGACAAGATAACTGATGCCTATTGTTCTTGCAAGGCTGGGTAAGTTGTGCATTCATCGTTTTGTCTGTTACTTTTGAAATCAGTGGATAATTCCTGTGGTTTGTTGGCAAATGTTTGTGTGGCTATCCTGATACGCTGTACTTGGTGCTAGAGTGGCTAACACGAGGAACAGTTTCGTCCAAAGCCTTTTCTGCTAAAATAAAATATTTAGTGTATGTCAGATACAGTACACATTGGACATTGATCTGTTTAGCTAACGTAAGATTGTGTAGCAGACAGGCTTCACGGTCTTGAATGTGTAAAGTTGTATCAGTACTGCCGTTATGTTGTACTTAGCTAAAAGGTGTTCATGATGGATGCGTTTATTATTGATTTTCTTTTTTTCAGACTTGGGGGTCATTGTTCACATATTATAGGCCTCCTCAAGACCTTGCAGTATTTCAAACTGCAAAGTTTTTCCTCAATCCCTGACCGATTGAGCTGCACCAGTATGCCACAAGCTTGGGGAGCACAATCAGCTCGGGGTTTGAGGATTGAACCCGTGCCCATCAACCACCTCACTCTAGCACGACACGTGACTCACCGCAAGCGCAGACCGAAGGAATGCAGTGTGGACTTGAACAAAATGTATGTAGGTTTTTACTGATTTAGATTTGAAACAAAATTTATGACAAAATAATATGTACCCTAGTGTTGTTTTACAATTCTGAGTGTAACTACAATTGCATGAATGCAAACAAAACCAACACATAAAACTGTTCTTTATTTTAATTACCATTGCAAATTTGACAGCTCTCAAAATTCATTTTCATTGTATTTACAGAGTGACAAAGGCTGAACCCGAGGAGATAGCTGCACTGAAATTATTACATGGTACTCCATTGACATACTGTATATGTTGACGCCTTCAGCACCAACTGTCTCGACACCCCTGGGAGAAGTGCAAATTGGGTCAGCTGTTTCCTATCAGGTAAAAATTAATGAAATGTGTACTGAAACAAGACTAGTATTACTGTTCTTACATTTTCTTCAAAACAAAGCCCTGGAAAAGTGTCAAGTAGCAACACACAGCCCATATTCTGTTTAACTTAGGAAATAATATAGCAGGAATTGTACAACCAACAATTTTGAAATCTTTAATGCGAGAAATGAGTCGTTCAACATGCACTCTGTGTCTTGCTATTTTGTCAGTTAGTGCAAGATCTGCCTGAGACAACTGTTTGTCTGCTGAGGCAAAAGGTGGTATGTTTAAGGACAGACCAAGGGCATTTATCTCATCCTTGATTGTAAACCCTTTGTCTGCCATGACACCGTCACCATTCTGAATGTAACCAACGTCCTTCAGTTGTTGTATGGTTTCATAAAAACCACTTGCTTTTGTAATGGCCTTGTCTGATATCGATCCTGTGAATAATTCTGATGTGAACATGAAAGACCCCCGAGAGTCACAACCTATGAGTGCCTTGAATGTTGTGGTAGACTTATAATCGCTATATAGTTGGCATTGCACACCATGGGCCCAGGGGGATTCTGTTTTTAATTCTGTTCCATCAATAATAATTAATGTTGTAGGGAAATTAGCTTTGAAGTCTTTTGGCATGTTGTCTATTATGGTTTGTCTGTGTGGCCAGATAGAAACAGTGCACAGCTTAAGATAAATAATGTTAATCCAAGTGTTAAATACTATACCAGCTGACTGTTGTGAAATGCCGAACCGTGTTGCTAGATCGAACAGACCAAAGTTTTGTCTCAGTCTGCACATAGTCAGGAAAAGTCCATTTTCTGCTGACATTTCTCTAATGTCATTTCTGTTTTCATCATAAGTCAAAGTCTCCCTCTTTGGCAAGAGAAATGTAAATAGTGACATGAAACGGACTAATGTAAGTCCTGTATAATATACACACAGATTTTTTTTGCTGTTCTTCTCAGATTCAACTAGAACTAGATGGTATCCCTGTAAACAATTGAAACAACAAAAGTGATTCTGTTTCTGTTTGATGTTCATGTTTGTGGAAAATGTGAATTGTGACACATGATATATAATAAAATAACTTTGAATCAGAACTGTGTTATGGATGTGTATGTAATTGTGTGTACTAACAAGCTCTCTGCTCTAATCGATGGTCTCTTGTCTTTGCTGTCCTGCCTACTTGCACTTTCCGATGCTCTTTTTCGTGCGCGCCTAGCTGTATGCACTCGCGCTCCGTCTGCTGGTGTCGGATAAGGATGGGACGCTGTTGGCCCATCCCCGCCGACAAAATGCTAATAAATAAAAAGCAATAAGTATTATTGCTTTGCTTTAAGTACTAAAGCAAAGCAATAATACCTACACCAGCACACACTCCCTTGTTCTTGTTGATCCTACGAAGGTTGAGCTGCTCATGTGGTCGTGCACAAGCTTTGATCCAAGCCCGGCATTCTGCTCCTGATTTTGGAAATCTGTGAATTTTCCGACCACAAATACGATCAGGATATCTGACATCACCAGTACAGATACCCCACTGGCAATGCAGAACCATTATTTTTCGATTGTTGATTCAAAAACTTTATGCGCGGTATGCTAGTACAGTAGTAGTCTAGCACTACATTAGCTTGTGTTTGTGAGACGTCTTCGCACGTTGTAGCCACTCTATGACGTAGAATGGGCATCAGCCAATGAAAAGCGGCCCCTCTGGTAAGGTCCATGATCTTCAGTGCCTTTCTGCCTTGTTCTGAACGTGACGAAGCCTCACACTGAGCACACTCTGTTGTGAAGAGTATGTGATGAATCATCCTTTATTATCAGCAGCTTGTGCAGCATTCATCTCCGGAGAATCATTCCCAGGGGCTTTAAAATGACAACCAGCAAGCGAATGTTCAGATGACATTCAGTGAAAGTCCTCTGAAAGTCTAGACATGTTTACCAAGCATGGTCTGAAAGTTGACTCTACTTATTTTTTTATGCTTTTACAGTCTTTATATCTTTAAAAACGTTATGGCTGCTACTACTTTTCTTGTTATAAAAAGTTTGCACTTCTGATTTCTGAACTGAACATCTTCTGACGTTTTTATAAAATGTTGTTTTACAAAGCTTCCATACAAAATTAGACACTCCAAAGGGCTCCTCTGTCTAGCTCAGGCATATCAAACATACGGCCCGCGGGCCAGACACGGCCCGTTGGATGATTTAATCCGGCCCGGCATAAATTTCTGAGTATGTCAAAAAAATAAGTGAGTCTCTAGCTCATTTATATAAAATATTGTAATTTAAAAAAAAAACAAACAAACCAAATGCTCCCTCCGGCCGCTAGAGGGCAGTAAATGTGTAAAAGCGCTCACGTCCAGCATGCCGCACTGATACGAGTTAGTCACAGGATGTAAACATTCGCAACGTGATGCGTCCAAGTAAAAATAAACTGGCAATCTTACTTCACCATTCACCACTACTAAACAATTTATCGGCCAACACACCCTTCCCAAAATGGCACTGTCAAAAAAAATAAAAGTGGACACAGAATGCAGAGTTTTCCAGGAAAAATGGACTGAGAAGTATTTATTCACGGAAGTGAACGCAAAACCAGTGTGCTTGGTATGTAATTAGCAAGTTGCATTGTTCAAAGAGTTTAATATTCAGTGCCACTATGAGACTCATCATAAAGAAAAGTTTGACCACTTGAAAGGACAAATAAGGAAAGACGAGATAAACAAATTGGTCGCTGGTCTGAAGAAACATCAGTCTACTTTTAAACGCAGCCGCGATATTTCTGATGAGGCTGTAAGAGCCAGCTACATTATTGCCAACGAGCTGGTGCAGGCATCCAAGCCATTTTATGATGGGGAGTTTGTAAAAACATGCATGCTGAAGGTTGCAGAAGTTGTGTGCCCTGAAAAGCGACCTGCTTTTGCCCAGTAGTGGGCCGTCAGGGCCTGCAAGGCCTTCTCTGCAGGCCTAAGAAAATATCTGAATCACAGAGTGATGTTGATTATATTTTGTCCATGGAAACTTATTAAATATTTCTAAATAGTCTGTCCGCTTCCTTTCATAGCTTTTCCCCTGGTTGCGCTGCTTCCAGACATGCATTTTCATATAAAAGCATTTAACCAATCACATTTCAGCCATCATTTGTTGCGAGGCAGGGTCAAAGTCAAAGATGTCTGCCAGGAGTCCTTCACAATCCGTTCTGCAGGCCCCCCCCAACAGAAAATACATGTCGAGTACGCTGTTACTTTAAATAATCAGCTAAACGGCTGGGATGAGGATCAGTGCCTCCAAGTCCGAGACTATGGTCTCTCACCGGAAAAGGGTAGAGTGCCTTCTCCGGGTCGGAGTGGACGTCCTTCCCCAAGTGGAGGAGTTCAAGTACCTTGGGGTCTTGTTCGCGAATGGGGGTAGGGAGCGGGAGATCGATAGGCGGATCGCTGCGGCGTCCACAGAAATGCGGGTGCTGTACCG